TCTCTCTCTCTCTCTCTCTCTCTCTCTCTCTCTCTCTCTCTCTCTCTCTCTCTCTGCAAACATAGGTCTTTTCTTTGCAGCTAAGTTCAAGGCAAAGGCTTAGAGGGACAAAGAAAAAGCCAAAAATTATCCTAAAAATCTTTTCGTCTTCCTGGGAAAACACCGGTCCAAAGGCCTCTGCTTAGATGCAAGAGTCCATGGTGAGTGGTGAGTGAGCACCGTGGATGTTGTCAGTGCGTCTGCTTTTCAGGAGCAGCCCTGTGTTTGTTCTACGTAAAATGGCCTGTCTCATCCCTGCTGGCCCTCACAATAGACGGAAGTACCTTGATGTCCTTGGTGTAGAGCCCACTGATGTAAAGCACCCGCTTGGTCACAGAGGCAATAAGTGACCAGAATGTGAACTGATTCTGACTTTCATATTGTGTCATCAGCCAGGCTGAATCCTGCCTTGCCAAGGCCTGTGGCCCGGACTCTCCAAGCAATTTGCCTGGCTCAGGCCACTGACACTGACACTTAAATCCGCCTTGCTCTTTTGTCTGCCTCTGAGGTCTGTGCCCTTGGTCACTTGGTCACAGTGTCCCAGACTGACTTCGTGTGTGATACAGACACAGCTGCGGCACCACTCCAGCCCCCTCCCCACAGGACTCAGGTCTCACTTCCTCACCTGCGGGGCTCTGCTGGTGCTTGGTCCTCCTTGGGGAGTTGCCCTGGCTGAAGGGAGTTGCCTGGGGCAGCAGGCAGCCATGGCCTTAGCAGTAGAGTATTTACAGGGCCAGCTCCTTTGCCCCCAACGGGGCAAGTCCAAGCAGCTGAGGGTCTGCCTCGGGCCTCTGTCACCACTGGATTAAAGTTAGATGTGTGCCAAGGCCCAGCCCTGCTTCCCTTGCACCCCAGTCACAGTCCCAATAAACCTCTTGCTCCCGACTCTCAGCATCTGAGAACCTCTCAGGAATCTGACCTATGGAACAATGATAGCACCTCTAAGTACAGTCTTTCTCTGATCTGGCAAAGCACTCCTCTTACAAAGACCCACCAATTTCTTTTAGAATCAAACTTAAATGATCCTTGTCCTTCTCAGTGTCAAATAATAAATAAGATTGGCAGATACCTGAGACAGGAATTACTAAACCAGAAAGAGACTGGTCAGAAACAAGAAGCAAGGTCCCAGCCAGGAGTATGGTCTAGAGAAGATAGCCTGGGCCTCTTGCAGCCTGATCTGATGCTGAGTCTGTCCCCTTTCACATGCAAGAGGGGAGGTGACTTGCCCAAGGTCACACAGCAGCGTGGCAGGTTCTAGAAAAACCCAGGGCTGCTGATACCCCGAGCAGAGCTTGTTCGCCTTCCAGGTGGCTTTCATCAGCCTAGACTTCCCTGCAGTTGTATGCACACACTTCTGAAGTTGCTATGGAAATCCCTCTTCAGCAAGACACGTTTGAAAAGACATTTCTTATATCTCGGCTTGGCTTTTATGTGACAAGGCAGATTTTTCACATTTTCTCCTGCCACAGAGGGAGGGGAGTCAGCGATGGTGGGGGACAGCTGGTCTTGTTGGAAGGGCAGTGCCTGGTTGCCAGGAGGGCAGTGACAACATCAGACTTATTTTGCGGGGACCCTGGCTAGGCATTATGTCACCAGTGCAAGGCGTGACAGTCACAGCACTCTCATCTTCTGGGATCCTCCTGGCTGTCTGCCCGCCTCCCACAGCCTCTCAGGGCCTCCAGAGGAACCTCCTCATTAAACACTGTCAAGCACCAGGCAGCCTCACTGGAGGGGGTCAGCAGAGGCCCCAGGTCCCTCTGGAGTGGGTCAGGGCTTTCCCTGCATGCCCTGCACCATGGCCTTGGAAGAGTGGCAGGACCTCTGCCACAGTGGCCCCATGGGCTGGGTCATGCTTTGTGAGAGAACTTCTGGACCTTTTGAGTGGATTCCTGTGGATTCTACCCTCCAAGGTCTGCACCCAGAGTGTCTCGGTGTCTCAGGTATTCTAGTCTGTCGACAGTGTTTCAGTGGAGATGGTATGAATTTTCATCTTTTCATGCCTATTTCCTGGTATTTTGGTGAGGAATTTGGCCTGGTTCTAAAGTTGAAGAAAACAGTCCATCCTGTCTTTCCTGCCATCAGAGCCACCACTGCTCTCATGGGAAGAGAGATACAAAGAGGCCTCCTCCCTCCA